ACTGAGGAAGGATCTGGTAGCAGGACATTCACAAGCAACAGAATAGCTTTAGGAAGGGTTCGCCCCCACCCCAGTCCGTTTTTAAAAATTTTAATGAATTAATGCTGTTGTGTGAATGAAAGCGTAGGCTTTGTGTTGCCCCAGGAAATCCATATAGAGTCGAATTTACAAGTAAAGTTTGAGCACAGATGTAGTGCTAGTCTGTCTGCTTTTGGCCATTTTAACTCGCCATCTGGAGTGGCCATACTGCTCTTGCCACTCATTGCTCCTTAATGTAAAAAATAAAAATAAAAATAAAATCCACAGGTCTTAGTGCTTCCCAACATTGAGAAAGGAAGACTGCCACTGAGGTGCTTTGAGATGGAAATGCGCCCTGCACAGTGTGGGGCTTGGACTCTTTATTCACTGCTAGCTCCTCCGTTCTCTGCTGTCCCGCTCCTTCAACACAAGGACTAGGGTTGAGCAACTGGCTTTGCCTCCATGACCCAATTCTGTAGGGGCAATCAAAAGGAGACCCCTGCATTGTAGAACAGGAAGGCCTGAGGAATCGAGGAAGTGCCTTTATGCGCCAAACTGGAGGAGAGCAGACACTTCAAATTAGAATTACATGTACTTTTCACTAATGGAGTTTTTTTTTTCTTCTGCCACATTGGGTATGAGAAAGAGGGCTGCTACTGGGTTTTTCCAGCATAGATTCCGTACCACCGGACGCCCTCGGCTGATTTTTGAAGTTCATTCTCACCCAGGTTTAGCGCTCCATGATTGGTCACAGAAGTCTCCTTTTAACAAGCGTCAAGCCCTTTGATAATTGCAACCTCACGGGTTTTCACTGTAGCTTCCCAGTTGGCTTGACTTTAGAATCAGAAGCCCAATGTGGTGAATGTCCCACTAGTTTTAAGGTGATCATTGCCTCATAGTCTTTTCTTAGGAAGTCAGAGAGGATCTGAGAACCAGTCAACCGTTTGCTCACTGCTAGATTTACTTGTCATCCGACAGTACCCATGACAGCTAGTCCTTTCTGCGGTGGGCTGAGGAAGGCTAGTTTTAGTGTGGAGAAGACCTACCAGCGTCCTGCTTGTGGACACGAGAGGAGAGACTAGTGGGAGAAGTCTTGAGGGAAAAGGGGGGAGAGAGGGATCAAAAGGCTTCGCTTCGGGCAAGAAGACTCTTCCTCTGCTGTTCAGAGGTGATCTTGGGGTAAAGCTGCGGGTGGCTTGGTTTTGGAGTTTTGTCCCCCACTGGTTGGAGGAGGAAAGTCGAGAGAGGATGTTCTCAGCTTTGAGAACTAGGTCATCTGGAGGAGACGGAGGCAGGAACAAGGGAGACAACTTGAGGACAATCTCGGGAGTTGAGAGGAGACTTAACCAGGAATCACTCAGCTCCTGGTGAGCAAAAAGGCTTGCCCAGGAGTGAAGGCCCCTCCAGCTTGGAAATAATCAATGGAGCCTCTCTATGTTCAAAATAGGCATCTGAAGAATCTATTCTAAGGCCAACTTGTGGCTTATATTTGTGTAATACAACTATGTTAAGGTGCATTTTTATCCTGTTATCATTCTTCATTCCCATGCCATCCAAACCACGGGCTTTTTAGGGTCTAGAAATGCATAGCTAGGAGGGGGATAGTTGAGCACGCTCCCAGGAACCAAGAGGGGCCTATTCTCACCACAAGGTTTTCTGGTGGGTGCCAGGACAGACTTTCCTCACGGCCACCCGAATTCTCAACAAATTCGATTTGTTGTTGTTGTTCTGTGACTCAAAGCTGGGCCAGCAATACAGGGGCCAGAGTCACTAGCATAACATATGTGGATCCCTTTTATGTGAGAGAAATGCTGACATTGACTTAATTATGGGTTCACCATTTAGGTAAAAACCAGTCTTGAGTGTTGGAAAGCCATCAAGGCAATTTTTGGGGGGGTGGGGGTGGGGTACAGAATTCTTTCAGGTCTGGCATTCCCTGCATTGGGAATAGAGGTGAAGCATGCGACGGCAGTATAAAATTGCTAGACTACATTTTGTTTCTGTAGACTTTAGCATTTCATTGATTTTTCATCAATTTAAAAAATACATACCGTATATACTCGTGTATAAGCCAAGTTTGTCAGCACTTTTTTAATGCAGTTTTTGTGGTAAAATTTGGTGCCTTGGCTGATAGGTCGGCTTATACTCGAGTATATATGGTATATTGGATGTTTCCCCACCAAAGCCAGGCAATCTTCACAATGGATAATAAATATCTTGCAGCCTTTTTCTTCTCTAAGTTCTGTCAGAGAATTGGTGCAGGTATCTGGGGGCTGTCACATTTGAGACCCGTTCCTTCTCCAATTGAGGGACAGGTCCTTAGGCACGAGGAGGACTGCTCCTGTCTGAACGCTTCCATTTATCAGGCATCTACTTTGAGGGGAACTGCCCCCTCAAGCCCTCCTGAATGTTGCCCCGCCCTTCCCTTTTCTCCCATCAGGGGAAGAAACTGTCCGTAGCTGGGTCAACGCGGTGTGATGGGATCAAAATGATTAAGGCGGAGGTAGACTCAGAGTTGTAAGAGACTTCAGGGGGAGGGCTACTTGACAGAGTTCACCGTCTCTGGTTCTCTGTCTGGAATACCATAGCAAGTGCCAGTGGGTGGAAGACAGTGTTCACATCACTTTTTCACTCAAGCTGGCACTTGGGGTGGTTGGAAATGGCACAGGCCACCCTGTGACTTGGCTTGAGGAATGAGCCTTCTTGGTGACTGGTGCTGACTTTACTGCTTTCTGGGCATCTGCCATTCGGCAGAGGTCGCTCTCGACACCCAGGGCTTCCCTGAGTAGAGAGTCTGCGCCGGAGTACTGATGTGCACTGCAACGTGGAAGGGCATGTGTTCAGTTGCTAATTACTGTCTCATTGAGTTTCATATTTTAACATTACCCGAGCAGTCTAATTATGTTAAATCCCAAGGGATAGTTGCAATTATTTCATTAAGCTGCTATTTTCACAAGAGAATTTTGCTCTGATCATGACCCATCCTTGGGATTTATCATTTATTTCTTTCTACAGAGACTATTGAGATGGGTTGAGAGGTTCATTAGCCAAAAGGTATTACTTATTAAATACTGTAACTCACTAATCCTTTCTGAAATTGAAAGGTTTTTATAAGACTATGAAGTGTTTGAGAGTTGTTTGTTTTTCCCTTAATACATTCTAACCTACTGCTTCATTCCACTGTAATTCTCTTCTGAGTAGGAGGGAACAAGGGCAAATATCTCTTTAAAATGTTTAGTAATTCGTTGAGGGTTGAAACACCTAGCTTTTCTCAGATATTTTGTACTTAATTGGTTCCATAAGTTTAAGACTATTTCTTATTTTATTGGTGGTTACGTGACTTTGTAGTTTAACATTTCAAAATTTCATATGGAATAAGTCAAAAAACGAGAATACTTTCAAAACAGAACTTGATGATGCCTTAAATAAGTTAGGTTTAACTTAATGGAGCCACAAACCTTTTGGTGGTAAGTGTTACAGTCCCCTTTAGATACTGAAAGGTCTTGAGCCCTCAGGAAAAAACAGACATAGTTTTGCCTGTAATTTCAGGGGAGACAGGGAGTCTCTTAAATCTGTGGACACTAGAGGTCAGCTCAAACCTCATCTCAGGTAACACGACAGTCTTTCTAGATTAAATTTTTTTTTTCTTTTTTAACATTTTATTAGGGGCTCATACAACTGTTATCCCAATCCATACACACATCAATTGTGTAAAGCGCATTTGTACATCGTTTCTCAAAACATTTTCTCTCCATTTAAACCCCCAACATTAGGTCCTCATTTTCCCCCTCCCTCCCCGCTCCCCCCTCCCGCATGAGCCCTTGATAGTTTATAAATGGGTATTTTGTCATATCTTGCCCAGTCCGACGTCTCCCTTCATCCACTTTCCAGGGAGGAGGTCACACACAGTTCCATGTAATCGGTTCCCTCTTTCCTACCCATATTTTTAAGGACCAACATTACCAAGTGTGTTGAGAGAGTTCTTTAAAATCACTTTTGAAGAGAGTTAAAAAAAAATTTTTTTAATTTAATGTCCTTAGTCTCAAAGTCATTCTGTTTGTCGGCTTGCTTGCTTGCTTGCTTTTTTAAATTGCTGGGTAAACAGTTCAAATCCTCCATTGTGGCTTAAAATGTCAGCTAGGTGACAGCTTTCTAAATTTTTTCCTCAGGGAAGTTTTCCCTCCGTGATCCGTAGTTTGTGGTTCCCTTCAGATGAGAGGGTTTTCTTGCAGGGATTAAATTCCTTTACTTCTCCTAGTCAAGTCCTGATGATCCAAACCCTGGCGGCAGGGAGTGTATTCCCTTGGCTCAGTCTTGCACAGAGAACTCACTCTGACAGTCTTCTCAATCTTACTAGTAAATCCAATGAGTTGGCTACTAACTGCAAGGTCAGCAGTTCGAAACCTCGAGTCCAGTGGTTCTCAACCTTCCTAATGCCGCAACCCTTTAATACAGTTCCTCATGTTGTGGTGACCACCCCCCCCAAACCATAAAATTATTTTCATTGCTACTTCATCACTGTCATTTTGCTACTGTCATGAATCAGGCGACCCCTGTGAAAGGGTCCTTCAACCCCCAAAGGGGTCTCGACCCACAGGTTGAGAACCGCTGCTCTAGCCGATCCAAGGGAGGATGAGGCTTTGTACTCCTCCTGGAAAGGGTTAAAGTCTCAGAAACCCACAGGGGCAGTTCTACTCTGCTCCATGGGGACATTAAGAGTAGGACAGTGAGTTTGAGTTACGATTCTATTGCCCTTGGTCCCTTTGGGCCATGACTATGATTACATATGGTAATGGCCAAGTTCCCAAAAAATGACATCTTGGGCAGTGTTTAGAAATGGAACATTCAGCCATAAGGCCAAGAAAAAAAACTTGAAGCTTTAACTAACCAAGTTCTCTATGCTATGCAATAAAGGTTCTAGAAAAACTTAATACGTGTTTCCATTTGTATTCTGTGTAAGAATATGTGCATTTCTTTTGTAGCCACGTCATGAATATTTTAATGTCCCTGTGTACTAAATGACTCCTCATCGAATATGCAGTTTCACAGAGGAAATAGAGCTGATACACTTAAGAAAGAAAATGCACGCAGCTTGGTGATGCTGGTTATCTTGTTACAGTAATTATAGAACGTTTCCCCTTGTAATGGTTCCCCTACCCCCTTTGCTCTCCCTCTTCCATTTTAGTTTAATCCTTTATGTTGCCTTGGTTTAGCTTCTGCCTACTCCACCTGTGATTTAATTTCTTCTTGGGAAACATAAGCGCTTTGAATGTTTGGAGGAATACTTCATCTTAAATGTATACGCATGCTATCACTATTGAGCCATCTGCGATTGATCTTCTAAGAGGAACACCCTGCAATCTTTAAAGCGGTTTTGCCAAAGAGAATACAGCTGGAACAAACTGTTATGTTAGTAAGCTTTGGTCTTCAAATGGGGATACACTCCCCAGTGCCACACAGTGTCTCCTGTCATGTTGCGTCCTGTATGAGCTCATGTGCCATAACATCTCACAAATAAGTGTATGTGGAAGTAATAGCCCGAGGGTAAAGTAAGTCTGTCCCAGGACACATTTAAACCATGTCCCATCCATGCTATCTACAATAACCAAGCAATCCCTTTACAAGAGTATCATCCCTTGATGAGAGTATCGTCCCTAATAGCTGTAAGGAACCCTTCACCACACTACTACAGATTGTGAAAATATTTTACTGTTCAGTTTAAATACCTGAATACTTCTATTTCATTAGGTATAGTTTTGTAAAATGTCTTCATTTAAATGCATAACACCTCCTTTGATGGTTTCTATTTTAGAATATGAAAACTTTTATTATTGAAGATTATTTTGTTGGTGCAGAATAAAATATGCTGCACACTGATGCTCCAAGGCAGAGTATCAAACAACTCATTCATTCATTCATCTATACATTCACCCGTCTAGAACAGGGGTCGGCACACTGCGGTTCTTGAGCCCTATGCAGCCCTTTCTGTATGCACATTGGCTCTAAAGTAACATTGAAAAAGTCTAAAGGATTTTATTTATTTGCAAAAATTTGTTTGTGGCTCTCAAATTTTTAAGTGGTTGGGAGGAACAGGATTGGCTCTTCAGCCTCAAGCTTGCTGACCCCTGATCTACAAAGTACACAGACCTGGAGGGGAAGGGGGGGTGTTTGACCTAGCCCAACTGCCCCACATTTGATGGCCCAGAATAGAGCTGCCCCCGGAAACCGGGAACGTGGGGAATCATTGTGCTTTTTCATGTCCATGTTTTTTACCTCCATCCCCTTGCCAGGCTATCTGTCTACGCTAGGCCTGGGGGTTAATGCTGTATAGATACCCATTGTCTCCTCTCTGTGTGCTTTGGACTGTGTGTGCTGAGCTGTAGCATGCTGCTGCTTTGTTCTCTGTATACGCGGCCACCTTTCAGTTCGTAGACTCAGAGCTGCCTTGGCATGTTGAAAATAAAAGTGTTGCATGCATTTTGTCTCATGTGAATGACTTTTTATCTTCTCCATCTCTTTTGATTAGAATAATATCATTTGCCATTTTGGTTTTTCCAGGTAATTTCAAGCTACAGTTTCAGGGTGGCCATGTGGCAATGGCATCCTCTATGAATTAGAAACACACACACTCTGTAAAAGACTCCAGCGCATTATTTGGGCAAGTCTCCTAAGGGTGAAAGGTGTAAATGATTCTCTGAAACTTGGCCTTTTATTTTAAATAATGCATATTCCATAAGTAACACGATTCTCTGCAACAAAAGCTGTCCAAAATTGCAGACCGCAAATACCTAGGGAAAACCTGACCTAGTGGACTAGGGGCACAAGTTTGAGCGGGACAAGCCAAGACTGTTGCCAGGGTGAAGTAGCCAATAAACAAGGCAAGCACGGCCTTGCTTGTGTCTGCCTAGTAATCTACAGTGAACCATTCTGTATGCTTTCATCTCTGGTGCAACAGGTGAAGCTCTCACTACAGAGGAGTAAGTCAGCACAAGGAAGGCCGTGCTTACCTTGTCAGTTGGGAGAGACAGATGCCAGCCAGACACTATAGAAACAATCAGTCTTTGGTGGGATGAAACAATGGAAAATGGTTCACTACAGATTACTAAATAGGCACCAAGAAGCCATGCTTACTGGACAACCCCAATACTGCTGTTAACGGTGGAATTCCATGTATGTATATCCTGTAGTGGATACTTTAAAGATTGAAGTTACAAAGAGAGATTTAATATGATGGAAATAATGACATATTTTTAAAAATCCATTAATATCTATGGGACTCAAATGGCTTTCTCCGAGTATATTCAGGGATTTGGAGACTCATCATTAGGAGGAGACTGGGTATGGATTCTTTAAGCACTCTTTCAAAACGTTCTCAGGAAACTAGGCCTAGAGAACGGCGTGAAGCCGCCTCTGCCTGCCCGGGCCCTACATGGCACAGCATGGCATCGCAAAGCATCAGCATGTAGCCACACTCAGCAGAAGGAAGCCGAGTTCCTAAAGCTTGTCCAAGCAGGGCTCTCATTACATGTGGCTCATGTGTCTTCAGTCTCAATCTGTAACACTGCCTCATCTTCCCGCCTGTTCTACTTTTGTAGACAGCCATTTCTATTGTGTCACCTGTGTCTGTCTCATTACATTCTTTTATGCCACTGGGTTTTGGTTTTGTTTTAATCCCTCACATAGGGTTACATCAGGCAGATTTGATTCAGGCTCACTTGTTTGGCATGAAAACATCCACAGATTTCGACCATCCTGTCAAAAGTCTGAACATACCTTTTGTCACAAAGGCCACTTTGCAAGCACATAGACATACCAATACGGCACAAGAACGTTAACACCTTATAGGGCCTGTCTTTCCTCTTCAAGCATGTAACCCTTGAACAGCTGCCTCTAAGTTTGCCAGTCCTGGAGGTAAGTACTATACAGTTTATTTACAGGGGACTCCAAAAAGGTGGCGAGGAAACTGGAATACGAGAGTGGGATGTCTCCATGGGCTTTGCGGCTCCCCTAGACTAGAGCTCTTACGTGCCGTGAAATGCGACATTCTAGGGATGTATGGTTTAATACCAGTTTCCTTTTCTTGCTTTGTGCTGCACCACGACTAGGATGCAAAAGTAAGTGTGTTTGGTACTGCCTACTATAAAATTCTCAAATCCTCTCTCCAAACTTAGCATGCTTTTTGATTCCCAAAGTGATTGGCCATAATAGCTGAACCCACCTGGTACTTTCACGTGTAACATGCAAAGTCTACCAGCTAAATAGACTTGTCTTTTTTGAAATGCAAAACCAGGCTGGGGCTCTGTCCCACAGCTTGCTTTGTGGACACGGCAGTTAGTGGGACTGGGAAGGTGGCCGCTTCTCAAACCATGGTGCTGTAAGACACTTGAACTCAAAGGAGTTACAGGCATTTTGAAAACTGCATTGTGACACCCCCCAAAAAAAGACCATTGGGAGGGGCAGGGGGATCGAGTCTTACGTGTTTCTCGAACCCCCTTGGCTTTCTATTTGGCATGAATTTTAACCCGTAGGGATCTTATCACTGGTCCAGCTCAGTACAAGGGACTTCCTTAGTTGCCTGTGGGTTTGATTTGGTTTGGGTACAGCACCTGCCCCTGGCCCACCAGCACCTGCTCAGATGGGTTTAAATGACTGCCTGCTGAAAGATCCTGTGGAGGCCTGGTGATTTGGGGTCCCCTTAATGACCACCAGCAAGCACTAATGGCTCCCTGCTGCTTACTGCTGCTGCTCGTGCTGAGTCACAGGACCGGTCTCCACTTGGTTTCTTGCTGCCTGAAATGAACACAGCCTGCCCGGTGCGTGGGGTCCCGTTCTCTGGGCTCTCGGATGTGCTTACCAGAGTCTCACGTTTTCCTCCCACAGGAAGCGGAAACCCCACGTAGTGTCCTTGAAGAAATTGGACTGACATAACTCTCCTCCTTTGTTGGTGATTCCCTTGGGGCATTTCACACACTGTAGATGTTCACTGCCTCTCACATCCATGTTAGCTAATGGTGTCAGATGATGTTGCGTCAGTATTACTGTTTTGCTAAGCTGCTGCTTTCAGGCCTATACAAGTTGTTGTTTTTCTTTTAAAGGGAACTTTGGTTAAGGCATAAGTCAAGGGACTTAATTATGAATTACAATGGCACAGAAAAAAGTAGCTTTTAAAGTCAGTTTTTCTTTAAGTTTATATACATATAAAAAGGACACATCTATATACATGTACTATCAAACGGGCAGTATGCATGTACGACACTATCATACTGAGCCAAGGAAACTGGTAAATTATATATTAAAAGCTGGTTTTCTGGAACCAAGACTAGGGCAGCAACTCAGTACCACAAGACAAGGGAATTGGCATGTCCTGTATCCAATTAAACTCAATTTTGAAACGTTTCTAACACAAGTTTATACCAAAGATCCCTATTGGAAGCTACCCACCTTAAAACCACAAAGGGAACACAGAGCATTGGAAATGACTTCGGAGCCGTGGCAGCGTTCGCTCAGTCAGGCCTCCAGC